GTCAGTGTTGTGTAACTGAGGTTTGAGGAGCAGTGTTGGTGTAGTTACACAGGCTACTGATAATACACTGGCTCAACGTACACTCTTAGACGAAAAGGTTCTATCAGCGCTAGGTATTTGGAACCCCTAAAAGGTTCTATACAGAACCCTTTTTTAAGGGTTCAATAATAAGAACCTTTTAGGGACCAAAAAAACTGGTAGAAAGGTTCTATGGAACCTTTTTGGTTCATTCATTAACTTTTTTTTTATTCTTTCCGGATTAAATTTTTCACATTATTGACAAACATCAAGACCCTAAAATGTATTTATGAATGCAAGTGATCACAAAATTCAAGATATGGGGGTTAGAAGAAGTAGATAAAGTATATATATATATATATATATCATTAGTTAATCAATATCAAAGGACGAGACCATTTCAGTTTTTCTCATCTAAAAATCAGCATGATTAAAATGTGATATTAAGTTACTACAACAGTTTAATAAACAATAATTTAATTACAACTAAAATGTTGCAGAATAATGTAATATATGAATGAATAATAGTCTATAAAGAACCTTTGTGCCAAATGGTTCTTTCTTGTCATTATAGAAACCTTTTTAGCATAAAAGGTTCTTTGGAGTTGAGTAAAGAACCCTATGCTTCATATAAAGAACCCCAATGAACCCTTTTTTTTCCTAAAAGTGTTGAGTAAAATGGGTGCAATCTTTTAAAATATATTACCATCAGATTGTAATTTTTACCTCTGCAATCAAATCTTTGTTTAGACGTCACAAGTTGTATGCTCAACAGAATTATGGCAGATTCAATTTTAATATAAATATAGCTGTTTAGAACAATCAAATCAATTATATATCAACTGAGCAGCTTGACAATGCATCATTTAAAATGTGTGACTGCAAATAGATCATATAAAAATGTAACTGATTAAAGACAAGTAGCAAACTTGTACTGTGTTCATTTAGTAAATTGTAATACAATTAAACTAAGTTAACTAAAATGTGAAAATAATATTTGAAATGTGGCTTATTTGAAATGTACATATATAATTATTTAGCTCCTATACTTAGACAATGTTTAAACATTTAAAGGAGTAGTTCACTTTAAAAAAAAAAACTTTTGCTGATAATTTACTCACCCCCATGTCATCCAAGATATCCATTTCATTCTTTCTTCAGTCGAAAAGAAATTAAGGTTTTTGATGAAAACATTCCAGGATTTTTCTCCATATAATGGACTTCAATGGGAACCAAACGGTTCAAGGTCCAAAAGACAGTTTCAGTGCAAACTGCAAACTGTTCAAAGGGCTTTAACGATGACTAAGGATCTTATCAAGCGAAACGATTGCTCGTTAAAAAAAAATGACAACAAATTTTACGTTTTATAAGCTCAAATGGTCTATACAGAGACATGTTATAGATGATACACGACTACAACATCAACTGAGATTGTAAAGGCTTATAGTATTCACATCAAGAGAAGAAGCTGCAATGCAGTTTATAGGTTAAGGTGTCATGAGTCTTGAGTGAGAATGAAAGTTGAAAGTTGCCTCCACACTTTCTAACACAGGCTGGCATCAGATATACATCAATTATATTACTCAAATCAGCCTATTTAAATTTCAACTATATACCCAAAGAGAGCAGAAAGTTTGATAGTTCATATTCCATTCAATAATATCGACGTCACACGTTACTTTAACAGATTGTCTCGAGAATATGCTTCTTGTATTCTTTCAGTCTGTCTAGACCATGAAAGAGAGTAAGAGAAGAGAAAGTGTGATCATCTATGAGTCCATATCCCCCATTAACGTCACAGCTGTGAAGTCTGTCACAACTAATCGTATGGCTGCCAATCTCACTAATACATCAGCGCTGTATCTGAAAATGATGCACACAAGATGCAGTCTGATTACATCTGAATAATCCAGCAAATCGATGATGATGATTATGGGTATGTACTGTTCTCTATATTGATCTGTGACTGGCGACTCTATCTCTCTTCAAGGAGCTTTCAAAGTGGACAGATTAAACTGTCCTGTCTTGTGAAGTTAGAAATGTAATTAAGATAATTACGGAAGATTTACAAAATAATCAAATAATTGAATTTACTCTTCATCAAAGAATGAAGGATTGTGTGGCACTGAAGAGTGGAGTGATGATGCTGAAAATTCTGCTTTGCCATCACAGAAATAAATTACATTTTAAAATATATTAAAATCGAAACAAATATTTTAATTGCAGTAATATTTCACAATTTTATTCTATTTTTTTGATGGAATACATGTAGCCTTAGTAAGTTTTTTTTTTTTCAAAAAAACATTTAAAAATCTTACCGACCCCAAGTGTGTGTTTAGAAAAGCCCACAAATGAAGATAATTTAAAGACATGACAATATTATCACGAAAACAAAGCGCAGAGGGATCATTAAAAGCTTGCAAGTTTGAGCAAAATTACTGAACTGTTAATTAAAGTTTTCTAAATTCCTCAGGGCTTGCTGTGTGATCTCAACATTTCTCACCTTTTAAAAATCTGATGAATAATGATCAAATTGGCATCCAGCAGTATTTTGCTTTGGTAAAAGAACAAAAAAAAAACAACTTTCACCTATTTTGAGATCATTACTGATCCGGAGTATTTTGTTCAGCTTAAACAGATTTCTTTTATGGGCAAGAAAAGAAGAACCAAGTATAAATCTCAAGTTAGTATTTTAATCAACTGAAGGCAGTAACTAATATTTTAAACAATATTTTATTGATGTTTTTTTTAGTGATCAACCTATTTTCCAATCATCATTCATGCTTGGTAAACCAAGATGTATCTTTAACTTCACCAAGCTGATTGGTCATTAAGTCATTAACGGTAAATTACCATTAAAGACTGTATGAATTAAAGAGGCTATATATAGACTGACATAAGCTCACCTAAAGGATTATTAGGAACACCATACTAATACTGTGTTTGACCCCCTTTCGCCTTCAGAACTGCCTTAATTCTACGTGGCATTGATTCAACAAGGTGCTGAAAGCATTCTTTAGAAATGTTGGACCATATTGATGTCATGTCATTATAACATGATTTAAAATGATTCGAGCTTTGTGACATGGTGCATTATCCTGCTGGAAGTAGCCATCAGAGGATGGGTACATGGTTGCCATAAAGGAATGGACATGGTCAGAAACAATGCTCAGGTAGGCCGTGGCATTTAAACGATGCCCAATTGGCTCTAAGGGGCCTAAAGTGTACCAAGAAAACATCCCCCACACCATTACACCACCACCACCAGCCTGCACAGTGGTAACAAGGCATGATAAATCCATGTGTACGCCAAATTCTGACTCTACCATCTGAATGTCTCAACAGAAATCGAGACTTATCAGACTAGGCAACATTTTTCCAGTCCTCAACTGTCCAATTTTGGTGAGCTCTTGCAAATTGTACTCTCTTTCTCCTATTTGTAGTGGAGATGAGTGGTACCCGGTGGGGTCTTCTGCTGTTGTAGCCCATCCGCCTCAAGGTTGTGCGTGTTGTGGCTTCACAAATGCTTTGCTGCATACCTCGGTTGTAACAAGTGGTTATTTCAGTCAAAGTATTTCAGGAGATTGTCTTAACCAGGACCACACCCCTAAATGCATTGAAGCAACTGCCATGTGATTGGTTGATTAGATAATTGCATTAACGAGAAATTGAACAGGTGTTCCTAATAATCCTTTAGGTGAAATCCTTTTTTCTTTGAATTTCAACTGACAAAATGTCTTTATGTCAGTGTAGTGAATATGGCACCACAGTTCAAACACACTCCATCAGGTCTGTTGACGGGGGAAGGAAAGCTGAACCTGTATTCCACTCGCTTTAGTGCCTTTTAAAGAAAGTCTTGCCATTTCAAACCTGTGAAGAGGAAGCACTGAGCCAGTCACAGGAGGCGTTCCTGCCATCTCTGTCGGCTTGGCCCTTTTGATGAGGTGACATCAACCAGCTCTGCCTCCTCAGGGTGTAAACTTTATCTGGATGTGTCTGCCATCGTGATCACAGCTCCTGCAGTGAAGTCTCACGAGTTTAAGGGTGTAAGATTGGCTATTGTTGAACACTGTTGTGCGTCACAACGGCAGAAAGTTATTCTCTGTAAACTGCAACACAAAATATTCTTCTTGCTCCAAATTTATATTATTGTTCCAAAAACAATGTAAATCTTATTCATTGTTTATATTGTCAAAGTAAAGTCAATGTTTATCCATATAGTATATTTCAAAACAACAGAAATTGCAATCTTGTACTGTAATTGCAAATTTATATCATGCAATTCAGACTTAATTTCTCGCAATTCTGACTTTATATCTCGAAATTCTGACTTTATATCACACAATTCTGACTTTATATCTCGAAATTCTGACATCTTTTCTCAGAATTGTGAGATTTAAACAAGTTATCAGGCCAATTCTAAGGGGAAAAAAGACTAACCTTTTTTCCCCTCAGAATAGTTTATATCTCACAGTTTTGACTATATCATGCATTTCTGACTTTATAACATGCAATTGTGACTTTATATCTCACAATTCTGACTTTATAACATACAATTGGGACTTTATATCTCACAATTCTGACTTTCTATCACGCAATTCTGACTTCATATCTCGCAATTTTGACTTTATATCACGCAATTCTGACTTCATATCTCGCAATTCTGACTTTAAAACACGCAATTGCGATTTTATCTTGCAATTCTGACTTTATAACACGCAATTCTGACTTTATCACGCGATTCTGACTTCATATCTTGCAATTCTGACTTTATATCTCGCAATTCTAACTATATCTTGCAATTCGACTTTATAACGTGCAATTGCGACTTTATATCACGCAATTCAGACTTTATATCTCGCAATTCTGAGAAATAAAGTCAGAATTGTGAGATGTTAACTCGCAATTGTGAGAAAAAATGTCCGAATTGTGAGATAAAAAGTTGAAACAAGCTTCCATATTATAAATATGCCGGTTGTTAATGTCAAATGTTCTGACATGTTAATGTGACATGCTTGTTAATATAATAAATCTGACATGTTTCTGTTTATTTCAGATGTTCTATAAAAAATGCTATCATTAATGACTAGGTGGTGTATTTCAACAGTCATTAGAACTATTAAACTGCATGAAGGTGACGTATATACATCTAAACAGGTGTGACCTATATCTAAATCTATATCTAAACAGGTGCAACCTTCAGCACTGACTGCATTCGAAATTGCATACTTCCCTACTAAATAGTACCTATATGTAGTATGTAACGAAAGTACTATGTTCAGTATTTTTCTGAATTCACAGTACTCATAAAAGAGTAGGCGAAAAGTACATGATGTCCTACTTCTCCGGAGAGATTCTGAAGTGTGCATATGATGGACTTTACTATCCCATGAAGCCACAGAAGATTTATGAATGTCAGTGAAGTGACGCAACCAATGCTGGTAGGTCACATGATAATGACAACACATTCATGCTATATAAAACATACCCTTTTAGCAATTGTTAAGTAATTACTCATTCATAATAAGTACTCACTCCAGAGAGTGTGTGATTTCAGATGCAGCCACTGTCACATCGGATGGATCTGCCTCTTTACACTTTCAAATGAGACACCTTCCCACCTGCTCAACCATTCATTCATTGATTGCTTGGAGACCCCAGACTTCCTCTTCAAAGATTATCATGGATATGCGTGAGTGGTGTCCACTTTTGGGTAATTTGAATATTGCAATTCACTTCATGACAAATATGACTGATAAACACAACTGCAACGATACGAAATGATCTTGATTAAATGTGAGCTGTGCTTCCCCTTTTGGGAACAGAAAATTAAGGCATTGATTGACAGATTCGTTAGGGAATGTTTTTTTTTTCACTCACTCATTATAGGAAATGTATGTAGATTACCTGTGACGGATGATGTGTGGAAGGAAATCCAGAGCAGGAATATTTCACCTAAAGACTGAATTCACACGCAGTCTTCATACATTTCACATTGACAGGAACAGTTGAATTCGAAGGAAAATTTGTGTCAGGGATATTTAGTTATGTTTGTTCTTAGTTTCACTGTCATGGACTTTTAGTTAGTAAGCATCGGTTCCTGTTTTCATTGTCCAGCTCCCGCTTCTTGTTTGTGGAAGGAAATCCAGAGAGAAAAGAGCAGGAAGATTTCACCTGGAGACGGATATACACACAGTCTTCATACGTTTTACTAAACATTCAAAGGCATATTTGGAAGCAACAGTGAGTGAGCCATTTGTTTTATATACACACTACTGTTCAAAAGTTTGGGGACTGAAATTAATCATTTTATTCAGCATGGACACATTATCAAAAGTGACAGAAAATACAAATTTCTATTTCAAGTAAATGCTTATCTTTTAAACTTTCTGAATCCTGAATAAATCTTGCCGACCCCAGCTTTTTATACATTCTCAACATGTAACTGGGAGTGGTTTCCTTGGCATGCCATGAAAAGAGTTCTTTCTTTGATCATTAAAAATATTCCGGTGTGTTTTGAGAATAATTTGATAAACACCATGATATCCCCTCTTTTCTTTCCTCTCAGCAATCTGTTTCCTTCCTGTCTGTTAAAACACAAAGATTTACCACACATACTCACAGGTCTACCTTTCCTTGATTCCACATTTTCCTGCCTCACTGGTTGTTTGTTTAGGAAGGCGCCAACAGCTCTGTCCATGTGGTGTTAAAGCGGGTGAGCATTTACTCATAGCCTAAAGAAACGTGAAAACGGCCTCAAGACATCACTTCCCACACATTTCAAGATGCATACACACATTTACCCAGAATAAGCCTGAGACACATTGGGTCACCACAGTCACCTGACTCACCAGTGATAACATTTAAGGACAGGAAGCAGTGAGAACCACCCAATGATCATCCAGAGCCCCCAGGCTTTGTCTGGGACGGTGTGCTCTGCCCTTATCTTCTTAATAATCGCTCAAGTGAAGCATTCCATGGCATGCAGGTCTCTAAATCTTATGAAATCAAATCAAAATGTCAGTATTTATATTGTATTATATCTTTATAGAAAAATCCTAACACTGAAAATGTTATTGCATTATCATGAGTTCACAATAGAATAATAATGTCCTTTAGCATACAGTATTTAGACAATATTAGAGTGACTATAGTAATGAGGTGTTACTGCTAACATGAATTAGCATGATGCTAACATGTTCTAACTAGGGCTGTCAAACGATTAATCGCATCCAAAATAAAAGTTTGTGTTTACATAATATATGTGGGTGCACTGTGTATAATTATTTTTATACTAATATATATTATTAATATATTATTATATATAATTTATATTACATGTAAATATTAGGGCTGTGCAAAAATTAATTGCGATTAATCGCATCCAAAATAAAAGTCTGTGTTTACATAATATATTTGTGTGTGCTGTAAATAATTATTTTGTATATATAAATACCTATGCATGCATGTATATATTTAAGAATTATTTGCGCTTAAATTCTGTATATATATATATATATATATATATATAAATTCATAACCTATATTATATAAATATAAATATTTTATATATGAATAACACATTTTCTTAAATATATACATGCATGTGTGTGTACTTACATATACAAAATAATTATATTTTGCGTGTGTGTGTGTGTGTGTGTGTGTGTGTGTGTGATTTTACCCCCCTAACATAAAGCCTATGTGGAAGGACATACATGTATGCCGCTTATGTAAATTACTTGGGACACCACTACTTCTAGCCATGGGATTTCTGCTTCCTGTTTTTCAATTTAAAATGCTTTATAGAGAAAAGGAAAGGGCCTGAGGCCAGTGGTCACACAAAGCACACATACACACACTTGTTTTATAACTGTTGCTGACACATAAGCAGGAAAGCACAAGAAATACGTCACTATGTTGAAGAGGTTAAAGAGCAAAGTATTGATTCTGTCAGTGCACATTTAGTTGCCCTGAAATCATGTCTGAGTGGCTTGTTTCTTTAAATGGTTTAAGGAAGAGCAAATCTCTTTAGGTTGGACTAACAAGACCCTCATTTTTTCACAGACACAAAGTAACATCAATATGTTTCAATGTTTTATATTACAAAACATCCTTTTCTTTAATTCTCCTCTTCTAATATAGTAGCATTTAATGTTTTTATAAGTTATTGTTATAGCTACACAGTATCATTTGAAACAATTGTCACTGTGCCACATAGCCTTCATGTTCCTGTTATTGCTCTCTGTGTAGGAAAGTACTTGGCAAGACATGAAATGTAAATCTAATTTAAATTGAGCTATCTGTATATGTAAATGTTAAAACCTTTAGGCTTTTTTCTTTGGTTCCAAGAACAGCCCTGTTTTTTCCACCAACACATTAAATATTTAGCCTATTTGTGCTTTATATTTGCAAATGACTTATGGCATTTGTTTTATGTGTTTGATTATGTTTTAAACAATGTTTCATCGCACGTCACGTAAAGCAAGGCGCTAGTTCTCATGACGGAGCAGGAGCATGGGAAGGCGCGTTCACGCCATGTTGAAATTACAGTGGCGTGATTGCGGTAAAAAATTATTTAAAGGATTAGTTCACTTCAGAATTAAAATTTCCTGATAATTTACTCACCCTCACAAGATGTTCATGTCTTTCTTCAGTCGAAAAGAAATTAAGGTTTTTGTGTTTAATATATCAGGATTTTTCAATGGGGTACAACCAGGGTACACAGCCATGTGAGTGGTGTTATTAAGAGTGACCACGGTCAATCTGACTGCAGTAGATGTGAAAGATATTAATAAAAATGATGTTAATTCAGCCAGCTCACATACCTTTTTTTTTATTTTAATAGCCCTAATAACAAAACATTTAACATTGAAGAGTACATATAACATATAGCCTACATGTCAAAAATAAATAAATAATAAAAATAAATAGGCTATTGAAAGACTTTTTACAAAAAAAGCTTGTACTTGTTAAACAGCTGTTTAGTTCATAGACGGTTTAGTTTTCATCATTGACATACACTAGACCTCACCTTGGCTACGGCAGTTCATTGGAACGAATGCGTCAATAGAACAATAGATCAGGTCTAACGGAAATAAAATCACCATAAATCATCATGAATGCGATTTTTCTTGTTTTTTTTTGGTTTGTTCCAACGGTCAGACATTTATCATTGATTCCAGAATGATTTTTTTTTTTTTTTAATTCTTCCTAGTTCAGATTTTATCCGTGAACATTATCGCTGCACAAAAGTCCGCCACCACCAATGAATTCGAAGTAAAGGCAGAGATAGCAGCGTTACCTAGCTACTTCCTATGACAAGACCACTGTTCCAAGATGGCGGCGGTTTTGACGCATGCTTCGAACCCCAAGGTGAGGTCTAGGTGAGGCTTATTCAGCTCTCAAATTTAATCAAAAATATCTTCATTTGTGTTCCGAAGATGAACGAAGGTCTTACGGGGTTGGTACAGCATGGGGGTGAGTAATTAATGACTTAATTTTAATTTTTGGGTGAACTAACCCTTTGAATGTGTAGGCTACGTAAATTTAGAGCCGTTAGAATTTTAAATTTAAAAGCTCTTTCAACAGGTTAGTTCCGACCAGTGACGCGGTGCACAATCAATGACAGTTGGTTGATTTAATTTTCACTGTCCACTTACTGTGAAGTGATTCTCTGATGTTCCCTTATTCCCTATACGCTGTTTGCAGTGCCCTTCGAACTGAACATGTTCGTTCCCTTCGGATTGGAATCTCACATAAGATGGCGAAACACCTTGTGAAGTCCACTTCGCAGTCCACTTACGGTCGAATGGAACGCACCTTCAGACTGTCTGCTGTCAGCCGATGATAGTGGATAGTTCATCCGAATCAGATGTTGAACACCAATGATCGCGCACGCGAACCCGACAATCGACTGTCGACCGAAAACAGGAAGGAAATACAGGTATGGCTGAATTAACATATTTTTTATTCATATCTTTCACATCTACTGCACTCAGATTGACCGTGGTCACTCTTAATAACACGACTCATGGCTGTGCACTCATTTGTAATGACAAATCAAGGATGTTAAGCGGCTAAAAGCCGGTTTAGAACTTGCCCCATTGAAGTCAACAGGGTGCGAATAAAAAAACAAAACAAAACCGATAACACATGGTCTAGACAACACCGATTTTTTTTGTCGTTTTTGGCTATCCTGACAGCACTCCAAATGTACAAAAAAAAATTTCTCAATGTTTAAATTGACCGGAGTTCTCCTTTTAGTGATGTTAGGGTATAGTGGCCTATAATATCTGTATAAAAACAAATTCTATGTGATATCAGTTTATTTAGATAGTTTGACCTCTTGAGATGGATGAAGGTCAAGCAGTTCCTTGGAAAAGAACATAAATGCGTATTTTCAGGTCCTATTTTGTTCACCGTTAATGGAAAGTGCAACCACGCTTTCTCTTATTAAGTCCTTTTTTTGGCCTATTCTGTTTTCATTTCATTTACCGATCTACATTTTTAGCAACAAGTAGGATCCCTCTTGAGGGGGACCAAAGAATGTGCTGAACTAAAGTAAGAAATAATGGGCATGAGTCAACATGGACAGGGGTCACAGGAAGCAAAAATGTACTTGTATCCTGTTCTTGTGAGCGACTACAGTAGGCCATTAGTATTGACCTTTATTCAAAAGCATCTCATAGAGGGGACAACATTAAAAGGATCTGCCACACAACCTTTCAAGCTGTCATACAGCAGAAGCACAAGCAAACTGAAGAGGACGGTAGTTCAGAAGATTTTACTTGGCGGTGAATTCGCCCTTGACCTTTCAGAGTAAACCATCCAGTTATAGTCGGTTTGACAGAGAACTAAAGAGAGATGGAGAAAGAGGACAAGACAAAACAGTTTTTTTTTGCTTGATGGAATTTACTGTGACTTTTTCATCTCCTGTAATGAATATGACTGAACAAAACACCCAGTACCAATATGTATCATTGCTTAATTAACTAAAGAACAGATTATAGCAACCAGTAAAAGTACTGATATTTATTAAAATAACATTTATTATTTCATTTTATAGTAACATTTAGCAATGACTCTCACACCGGGTTTCAGATAGTCCCATCAAAAACTCTTTTGGAATTTATTATCTACATATTATGTTTAAAAGTATTTTAACATAAAACATGAGAACAGCCTTAGGAATCTGGTAAAATTATGCATGCTGGTTTTGTATTGATATTATTATTATTATTTTTTTTGTAGGTGATATATTCGACTGCTTTTTATATTTGATTTCAAACAGGACTCCCAACCTACATATTCCCCTGAACTAGGAGAGCAGTCAAAATAGGCCTCTTTTCATAAATTCTAAATTTAGCTTTTTTAAGCATTAAAGATTAATACTTTCTTTCAAATTTCAGAGCTTCATCAGAGCGCTGCTCACATAGCTGTAATATATTGCACTCGCTGCAACAAATCAATTGAGAAACACTGTACTCTTGTGGCCAAAACAAATCAATGCACAAGTTTGGTCATTTCCAACCAGTTAAAAAATCATTATATTTAGAATTTCACAACATACATGCACCTGTACTGTCCAACAGTGTTTGTACGCACAATTAAATATTACTGAACTTTTCTATGCAGGCAACATGAAAACCTAATCATTGAGCAAAGCAATACAAAACATCAACAATTTAACAACAAATATCAAGGTTTTAGTCAAACAAATTAGAATTATGTTTAAGTATCTAAGTTTCTGTACAATTTTATTTTATATTCTATAATCCCTTTTACTCTCATGTCACTCATGCAGAAGAGTCTCAGGTTTGTCATATCCAAATAATCTAAAGTCTGCTTCATAAAGATTGTAAAGTTTTCTCCGGTCAACTACTGAAATGTTTGCAAACCAGTCTCGCTCCCAGTTTACAGCTGTCCTATTGCGGTACCCTGGGGGAAAGTGAATCTGATTATCCAGACCAAGAATCCTCAACAAATGTTCTGTATCCTCATCTAGAGTTTCCAGCTTCCCAACAAAATCATAGTCGATTTGGCATGGATGGCAGAGTCTGTTCATCTGCTGCCAGTGTTCATTGAAGGGTTTTACTTTCTCAGTCTGTGGATCTAACAGGTACTGAATAAAGTGAGTAAAGGACAGTCTGATACCTGCAGCGAAGGCCTCTTGAGCAGAGTCAGGGGGGGATGAAATATTAGCATAACGCTGAAGCATTGTGGAGGCATACTGCCTGTAGAAATCCTCATTTGGCAAAGCAAATTTGTTCCGGAAAGCAGAAATAAGGCGTACAAAAGGATCCCGTACAAAAAGGAACTTGGTGTAATTTTTTAGTTTGTGATGCATCAATGGACGCGAGAAACGACCAAAGAGTCTCCAAAACTTGTTAAACGTCAGATGCAGAGTGGCATTGTGGGATAACGCTGATGGAATGTCAAGAGGATCCCGATATGGAGCTCCATTAGGTGCCTTCAGGTTCTGGCTGAGCACAATCATGACTCGTTTCCAGTTGGTACATGCTACCTTCGGTACAAAACAGTAAATAACACCATGATGATCATCCACAATGAAATGGTCCAGGGCTTTTCTTGGAATCTGGTCAAATGTCTTAAATTTCCCTGGGAAGTTCAAGCTGCTATTGGCTGAGCAAAGTTCTCTTATATTACGTCTACGATGTGCTTGACGCAGTTGGAGTTGTGTGGGAGAAGTCTGCGTAAATGTGTGCATTAGGTTGCTTGGACCCTGATCATGTTTTAGGTGAGGTGTGATGATCGTCAGGTTTGGTTTGACTGACCTGCTTGACTGTTTCCAGATAAACGAATCTTCACTTGTTCTACGTTCTGAGGATTTCATGCTTGTGGGGACTTCAGTTAATGATGATGATGATGACGATGATGCCACGTGCAGATAAAAAGTCCCATCTCTCACATCATCCCGGTGAACTATTGCGAAGAATATGATGAATACTGTTCCCAGCAGAAGGAAACACTGGAACTTCCTCAGCATTTTCACTGAAAACAAGTCTGTAACAGATCCTGACTTGAATGTATATCATTATCATCTCTGGAATGAGTCAAGGGCCTTCTGGAGAAAAACATAAACATTTAGGACATAAATAGTTTCAATTCGAAATTTCTCCCATGAAAGATGATCCATCACTCACCCATATTTTGTCTTCTTGTTCTCTATATTTCTGAATGTTCCTCATGAAAACTTTGAAGAGGGCAGGAATGCTTGAAGTTACATATGTAAACTCACACTAGGGTGTGACTGTGAACACAGGAGTGAAACGCTCCTCCTTTCAGCCAGAACTAAATCATATGCTGTTTTTCCAGACGGTTAAGCTAAAACTACCACAACCATTCAGAGGAAACCACAGCTGAAAATAAACCAACACGCTTCCAGAGTCAACTCCAGAAATGACCAAAAACAACATTGTCCTAAAACACATTTTACTCGTTATTTCATTTTAAAATAAATTCAAAGGTTTACCCGTGTACTAGGTTATAAAAATAGCTGAACCCCTGAGGTCGAGTGACCTCTCGTGGGATTTCAGAGGGATTGTTTTTATGTGCAGGAGAAGGAACACAGACACAATGTACAGACTAGAGATATTACTCTTGATTGTTACAATTGATTGATTGCTTTATATTTGATTAAAAACCCCATTTAATTTTCTTTTTCTTTTATTTACACTTTCATTTATTTTCATAATTCATGTCATATTCTGTGAGTGATTTTTCCTTTTCTTTGACCATCAATTTTTATTTAACCTTTCATTTCTTGATGTCATCTTATTTGTCTTAAGTGCTCTAAATAATTTTGAAAATGTTAACATTCAGTTTTTGAATTTTGAGCTATAGCATGCCATACATTCAAGTGACAAGGTAGAACAAAATCAACATGTCATCGGTGATGAACATTTATTTACTTGGAGTCTAAATTCATTCCCTTTGTATTCTATTTGCCCACCCTCCCCTTCTTTATTTACCTCACCTTATTTTTGTACATATCAACATAATCCCATAATATCAACTTGATACGTGCTAAATGCTAAAAAAAAAACAACAACAGTTTTTAAAGTGAAATGAGTGAAATGCAATGGATCCATGAATCTCATGGATTTCCTTTAAAGGGATAGTTCACCTTTATAGTTCACCTTCAGTTTACTTCAAGGGCATCCAAGATGTGTCTTTGTTTCCACAGTAGTTTCAATTTTGATATTTTTAGGTCAAACCGTTGTTGTCTATCAGTCATATAATGGAAGTCTATGGGGATCTCCTAAAAGAGCATGCACAGAGATGTCCAAATTAAACAGATCACTTCGGCGCATGCGCAGACCGAAGTGATCTGTTTAATTTGGACATCTCTGAAAGGCACATCTCCTGTGCCTTCAGATCAGTTGGACATGGCTGTGGTTACAAGAGGTAAAAACGATATAAATACTGTTTGTTTTCTCACACAAACAGCTCGTTTCGTGTCTTAGGCCATCAATGTGTACTTACATTTACAAGTCATTAAATCATGTTTAATTTGGACTTCTCTGTGCATGCTCTTTGAGGTGGTGACCATAGACCTCCATTATATGACTGACAGACAACAACGGTTTGATCTAAAAATATCAAAATTGAAACTACTGTGGAAACAGACACCTACATCTTGGATGCCCTTGAGGTAAGCTAAAACATACCAAAAATGAATTTCAAAGTGAACAATCCCTTGCCCTATCGCATATGTCTATATTATCAATGCTGTTCAACACCAGACACACCCATTTTCACTGAGCTTGACCAGCCATCAATGTGTGCCAATGTTAATTTTTCATTTAGTTGATATTTCCAAAGTGACTCATGGTAGTTATTACAGGGATGATCTCCACTGAAGAAAAAAATACAGGCTTTCACACATTTTTTTTTATATAATTACATTTTTATTATAAAACAATAAATCACAATTAATAACTTATTTTGTTTAAGCAGCTGGCTCAATACAGAGAAAAAAGAAGCCATTAGGAATCGTGCTTTATTTCCAAGCTTATTTGCATTTTTTTATTTCTATGATTTTCCCCAAATAAATTTCCTGCAAATGTGATTTATCAAAAAATTAGTATGTATTCTGTGTAAACCGTATAAAATCTCTTTATAATATCTCAAAATGTGTTTATATTATAAGATTTTCAATACATTTCTGAGAAATGCTATAATAAACTGAAAATACGTATAGTATAGTATAGTATAGTATATATTGTCCCTTTTAGGAAAATTCTTTTTCACATTTCCATAAACGCTTTACATCATATCATACACACATACATATTTCATCCATAGTTGACATTTTACACAGAGATATATAGCGAGTTTTATAGGTGTGGCATGGTTTGGAATTAGGGTATTTTTTTTATTTTCTTAACTGCTATGGTGGTCTGAATACCGAAGTTAATGTAGTCTGAAATGATGGAGAACTTGTTATCTAATTCCCCCTCAAAAATGTCCCAGTCAGTGCATGCCAGGGAACCTTGGAGTTGCGCAATGGCGTCATCCGTCCATTTAGGGGCGCTGTATGTCTCTGGCTTGTGTGTTTTGAGTTTCTGTTTGTATACGGGAAGTAAACCTATCGTGTTGTGATCCGCAAGTCCAAGCGGAGGATAGGAGCGTGAACGGTACGCATCGGTAATGTTACCGTAGCATAAATACAAAATGTTATCCCTTCTGGTGGGGGTGTCAACATACTGGTGGAATGATGGCAGAACCGTGTCCAGTCCCCGATGATAAGTACCGGGGCCCCCGGGTACTTAGCTAGCATCGAGTTTGCCTCTTCAGTCACCAGCTCAGATGCAGTCTTGATGTTAGCGTTTAAAGTAACATCAATTTGCAACATGGTCTCAGCTGTATATTGTAGTGCAAAAAAACATTCTCTTGTTTAAGAAACAGCAACTCAAATATATTACCTTTTTACAGTATGTTTGTTTTTTTGCCGTGCCTCATTCATTCTGCTGACATCGGCCGTTCCTTTTGGTCTAGGATTTTCAATAGTGGACTTCTTGTAATTGCCTGGTTGCTGTAGAAGATTGCTGGGGTAAGAAACATCCCCTGGGCCTAAAAACATTTTTATCAACTTAGATTGGACTACAAAACAATCACAGCCTGACAACTTCATTTCACAATTAAAAACAAAGGAAACATGTTGTTGAAATCTCACCTCGCTGTTGTTTGTAGATTGCATGTCCTCGTTTGACATTGGAGTGTTTTTGATGGATGGTGCTGGGTGGCGTTCCCCTGATCTCCAACTTCTGAAGCTGTACTTCTCCTAAATTCAAATTGACAAAATGTGCTCATTTTTAGGCCTGTTTCACACATCTCACGTCTGCGGCACGAGAGCAACAAGCTGATTTTGGTACCCATATTAAAAAGCAGGAACAACTCAATGAAATCACTTTATGGTCTGCATTTTCTAACAGAGATCCAAACACTAGCCTGAATCTCAATTTTGCTTGACATTGAAAAAGCTTCTGGTTCTGTACCTGTAAAGTGAGGGACGGGATTCTTCATTTTAGCTACTGGGGGTGTCGCAGGTTTTCCAGCGCCGCCGTTGAGTTGCTGGATCATGTTTATTGCTGGTCGCACAAGGCGGTTGTCGGAGATGCTCTCCAAAACTGGATGTCTGGAAGGGTTTTGTCTTGGTTTTTGTACTTGCTGTGATAAAAACAGGTCAAATTAAGGCACATCCTTTTAAGAGTGGCACCTGAAATTGACAGTTTTTGCATCTATATTTACATAGAAACCTAATTTCCAAATGTAATTATTAGGTTATCACTTGCCGTGCGTACACATATTAAAATAAAAAGCAAAAACACACTGTAAACGTGATAGTTTGTCTGACATGATGAACAGTGTATGTGAAATTAGACAAAGAACAAGAAAGAAATATATAATAAATGAAATAATTTACCTCACATCACTATGATTTAAAGACACAAAATGTCTTTAAATCATAAATTCATCATAAAATCATAAATTTAAATCATAAATTCATGAAATGCCAAATCTGAAAACTGCAAAATTTAAAAATATTTTGTTTTACACACCCCCTATAATACACTACCGTTCAAACGTTTAGGGTCAGTTAGATGTTTTTGAAAGAAGTCTCTTATACTCACAGAGGCTGCACTTATTTGAACAAAAACACGGTAAAAATGTTAAATATTATTATAATTAAAAAAAAAACTGTTTTCTGTTTTAATACATTGCAAAATATAATTTATTCCTGTGATGGCAAAGCTGAATTTTCAACTCCAGTCTTCAGTGTCACATGATCCTTCTGATATCATTCTATTATGCTGATTTGGTAGTCAAGAAACATTTCTTATTATTATCAATGTTGAAAACAATTGTGCTGCTCCATATTTTTGTAGAAACCATGATATAATTTTTCCAAAGTCTCTTTGATAAATAGAAAGAGCATTCATTTGAAACAGAAATCTTTAGTAATTATATTATAAAAGTCTTTATTGCCACTTTTGCTGAATAAAAGTTTTAAACTCTTAAAAAAACCCCCACAAAATCTTACTGACCCCAAACCTTTGAACAATAGTGTACATATTTAACAACAAAAGGTGCTCATACCCTTTTGCTTGCTTCAAAAGATCTGGACCGCTTCTTGCGCTGTTGTTTCTCAGGAAGCTCCGTTCTTCCTTCTGTTCTCTTTGAGTCCTGCTTCGATTGGGAACTGCCTCTATGTTTTGGGGGGTTTCTTTTAACCTCTGCGGACTCATCTGCCAAAGTAGAAACTAGACTGTCCATGCTCCCCGTAGACTTGAGTCCTGCGGCCAAACTCACACCAGCCACCCTGGAATTGGACTCCTTTACTAGAAGGTGTGAGCGGCGTTTTGCTGCGATGACTGAGATGCTCTTGGTGTCACTGATAATTTCCCTCAGAGTGTCTGGACTCACAGCTTCAGTAGGAGTCGAATTCTTAACGGCACAAGCCTGCTCAAAGACATTCAGCCG